CAATGGGAGGCATAGCGAAGGTATGGTCAATTACCATGTTTGTCTATTATTAGATAGCATTATATATATATATATATTTATATTAAGTTGATTTATTTTATTGATGGAAAATAGATATCCAAGGATTGGGACTTTCCCAGGAGCCCATAAGAGAACAAGAAAGCAGAACTCCTTAAAGTATGATCTGTTTTGGATTAACTAAGGATGATAGATGGATGGGTGGGGCAGGGAAAACAGGATGGCATATTCCTTACTTTGTCAAAGCAGCTTGTAAGTGAAATACACTACAGTTTATTGGTAAGTAATCTTTCTCACATATGTCTAGCTTTCAAAAATGGTTTTCCTTACATTCAATCTAAATTTTTATTTTTATTTTTTAAAATATATTTTTATTGTTTTCAGAGAGGAAGGGAGCGGGATAGAGAAACATCAATGATGATAGAGAATCATTGATCAGCTCCCTCCTGCACACCCTCACTGGGGATTGAGCCCACAACCTGGGCATGTGCACTCACCCGGAATTGAACCTTGACCTCCTAGTTCATAGGTTGACACTCAACCAATTAACCATGCAGGCCAGGCTGCTATCCTATATAATAAAGCGCTAATATGCTAATTAGACCGAACAGCCCAACGACCGGCCAGATGACCTTCTGGACGAAACTGGGGCTGCGAGGGCCGAGCCCCTTGCACAAATTTTGTGCATCAGGCCTCTAGTTTATTTTTAAAATCTAGTTTGTCCATCTTTGTCTTTATACTATAATGTCTTAGACTGCATTCTATGCTTTCTGCCTAGGTTTTTTAATTCAGCCTGTGGAATACAATAGTTTGCCATCTTCTCTAAATTCAGTTTCTAAGCAGACTCAATAATACGAAATTTGATTTCTATTACCAATTGCCTAGATAAGTTTCTAATAACATTTTAAAATCATAGTCCTATTTCATTATATCCTTCAGAATAACTATTTCTTCTTGAGTCTCTACAAAGACCAATGAAAAACATGGTAGATGTGTTTCAAAATTGGCATAATTCTTGATGGTAACACCTCTTACACTATTGTTTAGTAAAAGCTGTTGATTTTACCTTGATACAGAAAATATCATGTACCAGGTCTCTAGTGTTTATATAAAACTTGAATGTTTTCTACAAAAAAAATTTTTTTTTTAAATTTTGTTGTATAACATTCATAATTGAACACTCCCCAAAGTTTGTGCTCGGGTTGGTTCATAGCAATGAGGCATTTAATTTGGTAAATGCTAGTTACTATAAAGGATTTCAAATATAATTACCATAAATATTTGTTAGTGATATATCTTTTTCTTAAATTTTTCAAATTTCCAGTAGGACAATTAAGTTTAAAACAGTTCCTAGTTTTTAAGTATGAGAATTGTGATCATTTATAATTTTTTTTTTCCTTTATGTACTACATCTTGGAACTTTGTCACAGGTTTTGACAGTATGGATGATTGTAATAAGAATATATACCATTTATGTTAGCAATAGTAATATAATCTTGAGCTAATCTAATGAACAAAATAGACTGATGAACAAAATAGATCCAGAGACATAGACGCATGGAACAGACTGTTGAATCTCAGACAGAAGGCAGCGACGGATGTGTTGGGTGGGAAAAGATCAGCCAAGAACTTATTTACATATATGCATAACCCATGGACACAGACAAAATAAGTGGGGAAGGCATGGGGTAGGGGGAGGGAGACGGTTAGAAGGGTCCATGGGGAAAATAAGGGGGCATATGTAATATTTTAACAATAAGGATTTTAAAAATAAAAAACTTGAGCTACTAAGTTATGATTTTAACCAATGGCTTTCTCTTTGGGTTAGAAATTCTAATATAAAGAATTGTCATGGAAGAAGAATTGTTATAAGATTTTTCTCTTTCCTGGTTGTATATTAGCCTCATCCTTGGAATTTTCAAAAAGTGTGAAAGTTTTATCTAAATACCATACCTAATTTTTTTGTGATGTCATCAGTGACAATGCATATAAAAATGTCACTGCTTACATCCTATGCCTAAATTTGGAATGGAGAAAACAGAAAGATGATACTAATGTTTTGAATTACTGTTTCTTTCAGCATTGGTTTACCGAACTACCACCTGTGTTAACATTTGAATTGTCAAGATTTGAATTTAATCAGGCATTGGGAAGACCAGAAAAAATTCACAACAAATTAGAATTTCCTCAAGTTTTATATCTGGACAGGTATGGTTTGGGATATATATCTGGACAGGTATGGTTTGGGATATAGCATAAATTAGTTTAGAAACAGTTTACTAACCAAGTGAAGAATTACTGTGTTTAGAGAAGAATTTTAATTTCCTTAAATTCTTTAATTTTTGTATAAAATATTTAGTAGCATTTGTCAAGAAAAGGTATAGTAAAAGGAAATTATAAGGAAGTTTTTAAAAAGATTATTATATTCTTGTATTATAATTCTGTCAGAAATTTTCAAAAGTACTATTTTATACTGTTTGATATCCTATATAATAAAAGGTTAATATGATAATCAACCAGAGTGGAACAACCGATTGCTATGATGCTCGCTGATCATCGGGGGGCAGATGCTCAACATAGGAGCTGCCCCCTGGTGGTCAGTGTGCTTGCACAGGGGAAAGGCCACTCAGCCTGAAGCCAGGCTCATGGCTTGCGAGCACAGTGGTGGTGGCAGGAGCCTCTTCTGCCTCCATGGCAGTCAGACATCTTCCGAGGGTCTGAGAGGGTACAGGCCGGGCTGAGCCACCGCCCCCTCCCCCAAGTGCATGAATTTTGTGCACCAGGCCTCTATTTTTATTATAAAATTTTAAATGAATTGATCTTCTATGGGATTGCCTAGACCAGTGGTTGGCAAACTGCGGCTTGCGAACCACATGCAACTCTCTGGCCCCTTGAGTGTGGCTCTTCCACAAAATACCACGTGCTGGCGTGCACGGACAGTGCGATTGAAACTTCGTGGCCCATGCGCAGAAGTTGGTTTTTGGCCTGGGCGAGTCAAGTCAGTATTTTGTGGAAGAGCCACACTCAAGGGGCCAAAGAGCCGCATGTGACTCGCGAGCCGCAGTTTGCCAACCACTGGCCTAGACTTACTATTGTATCTCCTTCCACAATATTTAGGGATACTAATGATCGCTATTTTTCTTTTTTTCTTCAAGGTACATGCACAGAAATAGAGAAATAACAAGAATTAAGAGGGAAGAGATCAAGAGACTGAAGGATTACCTTACAGTATTACAACAAAGACTAGAAAGGTATTGTAATGTTTACAGAATTATGAGCTAACTGTAGAAGTTCATGCTTTTAGCAATTATCTAGAATTTTTAATTTTACATTTTTCTTGAGTAATTTATGATCCTAGGAGTAGATAATAATTCTGAACTGATATTATTGCTTATATAGTTTAGTTTTTAATTCTGTTAGAAACTTAAAATCTTTTATAGTTCTCATTAGAAGGTTATTCTAGTATTTGAAGTTAAATATTCTCACCAACAACAGGTATGGTTCTGAAAATAGATATAAACTAACTTATAATTGAGGTTTCTTCTTTTATGATACTAAATATTACTCGAGATTTCCTTTAAGACAAATGGTGACTGAGTTTTCCTCCTTAATACAGAAGATACAAATTCAGATGCCTACCAGGACCTCGTGGAGGCTTTCTGAAGAAAGGCACCAAGTTAAACATAGTGGTGGACAGGGGTGCCTAGAGCACACCCCTTGGAGAGGGCGTGGCTGCCAGCCACATTAGCTCGTGGAGTCATGATGAATGTCATTTCAGTATCCCTAAAGTATCAGATTGTTCCCAGAAGCCAACATCTAGACTGTCAAATGTTCTGTAGTTTAGATAAAGTCCCCAGGCTGAAATGTCATCTGCCAGATGCCAGTTTGCAGCCTCTAATGTAATCTTTATTCCCTTATTTTAGTACTAATTTGAAAATACCCTGAAACTTTACTATACAAATATAATAGATCATATTTCAATAATTCTTATTCTTAAAAGGTATCTACACTAATAAAAGACAAAGATGCTAATTGCCCGTCCCTTTGCTACGCCCAAGCCTCACCCACCAGCCAATCAGAGTGACTATATACAAATTAACCCAACCAAGATGGCGGCCGGCAGCCACAGAGCTGGAGCAATTAGGAGGCTTGGTTGCCCTGGCAATGGAGGAAGCCAAGCTTCCCGCCTGCCCTGGCCGGCTGTGGCCTCCACAAAAGGCAACAAAGTTTCAATTATTGAAGCTAAATAAATCCCAGATACCTGCTTTCAGCCAGCCTCCACTGAGAGCTTGGGTGGCTGTGGGCTGTGGTCAGCCTGCAAACAGCCATCAGCCCCTCACCCAGGATGGCCACATCCTCATGGGGTGAGGGTCCCTGCTGGGGGTGGCCAGCCTACAAAACAGCCATCAGCCCTCACCCAGACTGGCCAGGCAACCCAGCAGGACCCCCCACCCTGAAGGGAGTGTGGCCAGCCTGAAAATGGCCCTAAGCCCCTCACCCAGACTGGTCAGGCACCCCAGCGGGAGCCCCACCCTCATCCAGGACACCCTTCAGGGCAAACCAGCTGGCCCCCACCCATGCACCAGGCCTCTATCCTATATAATAAAAGGGAACTATGCAAATTGACCCTAACAGCATAGCGACTGGGAATCACGTCACTATGACACACACTGACCACCAGGGAACAGATGCTCAATGCAGGAGCTGCCCCCTGGTGGTCAGTGTGCTCCCACAGGGGGAGCTCTGCTCAGCCACAAGCCAGGCTGACAGCTGCCTTTACAGCGGTGGTCATGGCAGCCTCCCCCGCCTCAGCAGCACTAAGGATGTCCGACTGCAACTAGGCCTGCTCCTGGCCGGCAAGTGGACATCCCCCAAAGGCTCCAGGGCTGCCAGAGGGATGTCTGACTGCCAGCTTAGGCCTGATCCCCCGGGGAGCGGGGCTAAGCCAGCAGGTGGTCATTCCCTGAGGGTTCCCAGACTGCAAGAGGGCAGAAGCTGGGCTGAGGGACCCTCCTGAGTGCACAAATTTTTGTGCTCTGGGCCTCTAGTCAGTAATAATATTGAATAATAACCAGAGGCAAAAAATTAGGAAGATAATATTAGTCACCATGAAACCAGATAACAACTAAAAAATAGTCTTAGGAGATGAAACTTAGAGTAGTGTTAAAATTCATAACAGTGTATACACACATTCAAGTTTAATCAGCTTTGGTTTCTTTTGGAGAATATTTAATTTATTTCTTGAATGTATATTTAGTCTTACTGTCTTCATCTGAAAATTAATTTCATTGTTTTTAGAGTTTTATTGAAGTATTTGTATCATGTTTTATAAAAATTATTGAAAATCATAAATTTGCTTTATATGGAAATTAAAGCATTCATACATTTTATGGTTAATAGATATTTAAGCTATGGTTCGGGTCCCAAGCGCTTTCCATTGGTAGATGTTCTACAGTATGCATTGGAATTTGCCTCAAGTAAACCTGTTTGCACTTCTCCTGTTGATGATATTGATGCTAGTTCCCCACCTAGTGGTTCCATACCATCACAGGCATTACCAAGGTAAAAAGTCTTTTTGATACAAAAGACAAGCTGTGCTTTCTATATTACATAATAATGTAATTGATACCCTTTGAAGAAGGTTTTATAAGATGCATGTTGTGATTAATTTTAATGAATTCTAAAAAGATCAGATTCACTTAGAACATTTGTTGTATGTGTTCTAGGTGCTTTCTTCATTATTTCAATAGGTTGTGAATTTAATTTTTCTGGTTGTAGATTTAATTTTTCTGCATGGGTGGTTAGATCCATATATTTTTTCTATTCAGAGTTATACTTTAGGTTGTTTCAGTATGTTATCTGTTTCAACCTTTTATTCATGAAAATAATATTGTTAAATTAGAAATTTCTTCTACAATGTAAGCTGGTAAGTATTAGCAAGGAAAGGTATTTATACTTTTGGTACACATAGATTTGTTGGTGTATGTTTTTTTAAGTAGATATGATCAAGCTATTTCTACTATACAGCCACAATTTCTTCCTTAAAATAATGTAGTCCTTGTATGTTAAGGAACTCATGAGGATGTTAGGTTACTCCACATCTATTCTTAAGACTGTTTCTTTTTGAAATTATAAGCCAATTTAATGCTATGTATCTGGCACAGTCTTTGTCCAGAGCTTCAATTTGGAACGTTTAATATTTTTATGCTTTAAAAATACAGCACAGTGGAACAACAGGGAGCTGCCTCTTCAGAATTGCCAAGCACATCGCCTACGTCAATAGCTGCCATCTCATCAAGATCGATGATTCACAAACCATTCACTCAGTCTCGAATACCTCCAGACTTGCCCATGCATCCAGCACCAAGGCACATAACGGAAGAAGAACTTTCTGTGCTGGAAAGCTGTTTACATCGCTGGAGGACAGAAATAGAAAATGACACCAGAGGTAAGAAGCTTCTCGTAGTGTACTTACTGTTGCCTCAGATGGGTCTGTATAAAGACAAATGGAAAACGAAAATCACTCTGGATTTCTTGTGTAAATATTATAAAGTATTTTTTTCTGGAAATTGTTTTCTAAAAGATAAACTAGTCTGGCTTTCCATTTTTATAATCTTAACTAGAGGCCTGGTGCACAAATTCATGCATGGGTGGCATTCCCGGGGGGTGTCGGGGCTGGGACATGATCAGCCCTCCGGGCAGGCGGTGGGACACCCTTGCTGGCCTGGGATCTGGATCCATCCCGCTGGTGTTCGCACCAGTTGTTGGTGGCCGTTTTTATATCCTTTCTTCCTTGTGGAGCCTCTAGGGAGGTGACGTGGCCGTGGTGTCCGCGGCCGACTTCCAGGAGGCTGGAAGCACTGTCGAGATCATGCCAGTGGTGGTGGTCCGTCGGTGCATGGCCCGTACTCCAGAGATTGGACCTGCAGGACTATTGAGGGACTGAGTGGCTGCCGACGGGCTGGTGGGCCACAGCACCGGTCGGTCAGCTGAACGGTGCTCCTGCTGTGGGAGCGCACTGACCACCAGGGGGCAGCTCCTGCATTGAGCATCTGCCCCCTGGTGGTCAGTGTGTGTCATAGCAACTGGTCATTCTGCTATTTGGTTGATTTGCACATTAGCCTTCTATTATCTAATCTAATAAAAGACAAACATTCAAATTGACCGTACCTTTGCTGTGCCTTAAGCCACGCCCACCAGACAATCAAAGCAAATTAATCCAACCTAGATGGCGGCCAGCAGCCAAGGAGCTGAAGCGAGCAGGAGGCTTAGTTGCTCCAGTGATGGAGGAAGCCAAGTTTCCCGGCCAGCTCTGAGCTCCACTGAAGGCAATAAAGTTTCAATTATAGAATATAAATAAACCCCAGATACCTGCTTTCAGCCAACTGTGGCCATGGAGCTGGAGTGAACAGCAGCTGGCTCTGAGCTCCACTGAAGGCAACAGTTTCAATTATAGAAGGTAAATAAATCCCAGAATAAAAAAAGAAAAGAAAAAAAGGAGGCGGAGAGCTGCCGACTTGGAATGACTGGTCACTATGACACACACTGACCACCAGGGGGCAGATGCTCAATGCAGGAGCTGCCCCCTGGTGATCAGTGCACTCCCACACGGGGAGTTCTGCTCAGCCATAAGTCAGGCTGAGGGCTGCCAGTACAGGGGTGGTGATGGGAGCCTCTCCCGCCTCCTCAGCAGCGCTAAGGATGTCCGACTGCAGCTAACATGCTCCTGGCTGGCAAGTGGACGTCCCCCGAGGGCTCCCGAGCTCTCAGAGGGATGTCTGATTGCCAGCTTAGGCCCAATTCCCCAGGGAGTGGGGCTAAACCAGCTGGTGGTCATCCCCCAAGGGGTTCCAGATTGGGAGAGGGCACAGGTCAG